AACTTATACTATTCTCAAAAGATTATCCATATAAATTGTTCGGGTGAAGTGCAACCCAAATGGACCATGGTGGGTCGGGTCAAGTATATACCAAATAAAGTTATGGACTTACACACCTTATCCAACAATTAGATCCATTGCACTATCGTTAGAATTGACCATAAGGAATTAGCTAATTAAATCTAAACGAAAGTTCTCTTTAATACTTGTCTTTGAAATAGTTTTTCTGTTCGATCTCAGTTTAAGTTACTTTTGTCTTTGTAATAGTTGCATGCCATCAAGTTTTCTGAACTTGTAAAATTAGAACCAACCCCCAATTTGTTTATCAATTTAGTTAGCTTTCGTCATATATTTTAATCTATAATCATTCTCGTTCCCCAAGTGTTCGACAATCCGTACTTATCATTTTTATATTGGAATACGAATAAGTACACTTGCCTAATTTTGTAGTGAATTTAGAAGATAATAAGTGTAGTTTATAAATATAAAACGAGTATAATAAATACACATCACATCACAAGTAGAATAAAACCATGATTTTATTTGAGAATTAATAGCCTCCCAATCCTCATCATCATCACTATGAGGTTTGGATTTTCCGATGATATGACCATGAACTATGAAACCCTTGCACATGTTTAGAAAAATGCAGCGACATAGCTTATATTTAGAGCCATCAACACAAAGTTCAAAGGTAAATTATGAATAGACATTGGTAAGTGCAAAAACAAGTTGGCTAGCGGTGGGAGCCGTGATAACGCTAGAGGAGACCGATGTTGATATGAGGCCGGAGAAAATCGAGAAATAAAAAATATAAAAGCAGAAAATAATTAGCAAAACGTTAACCGCAAGTAGAGAGATAATAATGTGCATGTAACATAATCTTTTGGAGAAGGAAGGTGGGGTTGAGGAGGATTTGTACGACATAAGCAATAGGCGGCAGAGCACCCTAGCGTCAATCACCGGTGAGAAAAGCAATAAAGGCCGACAGTAGCAACGGAGATCAGAACGACGACATTGGAATTGAGGACGTCGGGACAGGGAAGAAGCGAGCAACAGAGGGTTTAGCCGGAAAGAAAAAGGAGAAGGTATCCGACTAGTGGACGAGATTCCGGTAGGCGCTCAAAAGTAGTTGTAAGTGTGGCTTGATAGTTAATACAATGTTGAATATTGTGGAAACCATAATTAGGATTGCGTATATTGCTATATATATATATATATA